CAACAGCAGATTCTCTTAGGCTATGGCGATGCAGCCACTCTAAAGCCTCTTTCCCAATGAAAATAATCTGTTAACCTGGGTTCTGTAAACATGGGTTCACCCACTAACAATATGCATTTGGCTCCCTTCTCTGTGGCAAAAAAGCAGGCTCTAACCCCCAACTGGCAAGCTGTGTGGCCTCTGTACCCCCTGCCGCTGTGTGTCTGGTGACACCATCACACAGGGTTTGCGTTGATGGTGTCATCAGTGTGACAGAAATCAGGAAAGTAAACCATGGAGAGCAACATGGAAGGAAGCTAGAGCGTAGTAAATGTGCTTTATTGTTTCAATCTTTTATCCGTCTGAATTCCTCGTACAAGTGGTGCACCATGTTTATCAAAAGTAAACTGAGTTTTTTCAGGTTGTTAGATCAGAAGCGACTGGCGTGGTATGTAGAAGTCTGTATGTTACGCTCAATGGTGTCACGTAAGTTAGTGGGTCAATCCGGTTCTGGTTCCCACAGCATGCCGATCGGAGCTGAGGGTCACTTGCCCATTTGACTACACAGGTCATTGAGCTGTTTCCACTGCCATTAAAAGCCATTTGTTACCAGGTTTAAATGGGTTTTTCAACTGGTAGGAAAGCGGTATAAGCATCCCACAGCTTGCACATGCTATGCTTTTCTTGACTACTGGAAAATGCCTCAGCTTTCTCAAAATGGAGATTAAGTGCTTCCAACTAAAAAGTTGCTTTTTGATTATTTCATTAGGTTTGATGTGTTTTATGGTGTTTCAAAAGTTGAACAGTATAAGCTACTGGCAACCGCATCAATGTCATAGTGAAGACCACCTAACCATAGACCAAGTCAAGACCAAGATCAGAGTGTATCAAGCCGGAGACAAGACCAAGACTTTTATGGGCCGAGACCAAGGCCAATTCGAGACTAGTGCCCTTAGGACTGCATTACATTACATGTTACAATAAAATATGAAAGTTTATTGGAGCGCAAGTGAAGGGACAATGTTGTTGAAATTTGAAATATTACATTTTACATAAAAAGTTCAAGGATAACAGATACCATCCATGCATTTTCTCCCGCTTAGTCCTTGTCAGGGTCACGGTTGGGCCGGTGCCTATTTCCGGCTGTCCATGAGCGAGAGGTGGCCAGTCTGTTGCAGGGTACAACAGATACACACAAAGACACACTCACTCCTAAGGACAATTTAGGGAAGCCAATTAACCTAATAGTCACGTTTTTGGACTGTGGAAGGAAGCCGGAGTACCCGGAGAGAACCCATGCATGCACAGGGAGAATGTGCAAACTCCATGCAGAAAGACGGGGAATCGAACCCAGAACCTTCTTTGTGCAAGGCAGAAGTGCTACCTTGCTTCAGTGCTAAAATTGAAAAAATACATAGAAAGTTCAGTGTATGCCAGTGTTTTAGGAGATTTTGGGACATCAGGCATACACTGGCTAAATCGGCAAGGTGTGACAGGGCCCCATGTCACTAACCTGAGTTTCTATTTCTACAGAGTATCCTGTGTATTTGACCCAGCTGACAGGCAGCCGCATGCTTATAATCAAATAACTGCCTGTTTGAAATTACCTTGATCTGTCTGCTTGAATATTGGGTCCTAAGTTCCAAGCATCTGACAATGGCATCATTAATTAAATATGCTAAAATTAATGGAACTATGTTATTACAATGTTCATACTGCAAAAAAACACAGATGTGTTTTTTTTTTAGATCTTTTAGCTGCTCACTGACAGAAAGGCGCTCTGAGCCATATTCCCATGGTAAAACAGGCCACTGCTTGCCAGTCCTTCTTAAGCTCAGTTTAATTTCTCACATAATTACAAGTGTTTAGTGAAAGCTGTAGATTATCTTAAGTGCCATAAAGTTATGCTGATTTAGGGAAAGTTTACTTCTGGGATTGCCCTCTAAGGACACTAATATCTTTCCCAGATGGCAGAATAAATATATCTGTTAATGCCTGCTGCGAGGCAGGCAGAAAGCAGTTCTACTAGCAGACCCAGTATTAATGCAAGCAGTAAAATATTTCAAGGATGAAGTAAGTCTTTGATATTTAAAATTTTAGTGTCTTAAAATTCAATGCCAGGGATAACAACAAACAGAAGTCCTAACTGGAATTATTGGGTGCAGGAGTTGCAGAGTGTTAAAGGAACTGTGTGTGTTTTATGAAACTCATAAATATATACATCAAACCACAGATATTTCCACAAACAAAGCTCAAACAAAGCAGTTTGGTTTATTTTCTTGTTTTGTTAAATCAAATCTCCACTTATTATGGAACGAAGGGTACATTTAATTTCTCCAGTGGGTTCCTATCCTGGGCTGTTTCCCCATGGAAGATGCTGGTTCTTTTTTTACTCTTACAGGCCAGAGTATCATGAAAGAAGGGAGCTCTGTTGTTAATTCTGAACCCACAACGAAAGAAGAGGGGGTGAGCTCACATCTTGTGTAATTAAAGGCCGCAACACACGCAGGCCTTAAACTGTACATGTGGCCTCCATTGTGGAGGCAGTAAAGAGTATCGTGGGATTTCTCTTTAATGATCCCTCAATGAGTAGTTAAAAAGTAAAGAAATCAACACAAGAAAGAGCAAGATTTTAGATTATGAATTAAAAAGTTGGAAGACAGCTAGATAAAAAAACATAAATAGTTGTTTCAAGTCCTGATCTCAACACATGCAACCCTGGATAATTTGATGAGCAACTTTGACCTTTGAATATAACTCTGACAAAGATTTTCACAAAATTTTGCTAAAATTTAATAAATGTATAGAACTGCTCCAGAGAGAATGTAGGATCATGTTATAAAGCTCAGAGAAGAGGAAAAAATTGAAATAAAACCCACAAAAACAAAGTTAAAGCTTGTTCGATTGTAGTGAGATAAAACTACAACATTAAGAAAGAATGTAACCATCAACAAAGCAAATCAGCTTAGAGATCAGTGATGCTAACTCTGGCATTGTCTTTATTTAGTTTAAGTTCTGCTGTATCCTTTAGCTTATCAGCACAGGCACAAAGTTCAAGCATTGATCTATTAATTCCTAAAAATATATTTTTGAGATTCCTTTTCACATTCTGCTTTTTGTTATTGGTTGAACTGTAGTTAAATTCTTCGTTTACTCAAAGGACAAACAAACGAGTAACGTGGGTGTGCATCTGAATAAAACAAAGAAGATGAAAATAAATTATACCGGTACTGTTTTTGGCATTTACTTATTCATATTTAGTTACTTTAACACAATTGTTTCATGTCATACCCTGCTAACATTAAACAATGGTGTTAAACTAACTAAATATGATTAAGTAAATGCCAAAAACAGTTGCATTATTTTTTTAAGTGAAGGAACAATTCACAAAACTGATTTGCATTGGTCTTTTGAGCAGTGATGACCTCAATCAGTTATAAATGGCTCAGAGTGAGCCTGTTTTCCCTGGAAAACAGTACGGATTATCCACAGTAACATCAGAGTCTGTACACCAGTAAAATAAGAGATCTATTTCTCTCACCTCTACTCTACCAGCGGTACATTCAGATGACAGTTTTCTGTGCCATGGTGCATTTCTGAGACAAATTCAAAGTAGTGATGTCAGAGGTGGGGACAACTTTACATTAACATGAGAACAGGCACTACTGGGATTTCATTGATTTCTCATGTAACTCCCTTCGCTGCTGTAGAAGAGACATTTGATGTCATTTCATTCTGTTTTCAGTATTAAAAACATACTTGTTTCTCTTTACACGTCAATCCTGCATGGAAAAGAATCTTGTAGAGCACATATGTCAAAGTCAAGGCCCTTGGTTGTTTATCCATGGCCCCCTGGATGATATTTATTTACGATTAGAACCGGCCCACAGGCTGCGGTGACTTCGCAGGCTACCACCATGTAGTGTTGGTGAGGTTGTGTTGCATTGCCATGGGAAAACATTGTGTTTTTCTTTTCTTTAAATTTTTTTCTTTTGCTTTTCATGTTTGGATTGTTTTGGTTTTTTCTTTTCCCCGTTTAACAATCCAAGCTGGGCTGAAGTCGGTTGTCTAAGGAGGCGGAGTGCACTAATTGTGCTCCGCAACTGCTACGCTCAGGTGTCAGCAGAGGCTGATTGAAGCCAAAATAAAAGGAGCCTGGATGGAGGGAGGGGTTGAGCTGAGCGAGGAGCAGGTGGGGACTATAAGCATTATAGCACACACAATGTTTCTATGAACGTACAAACAAGGACTGATCCTAATGCTTAACTTCTTAGATGTTCTTATTCCATCTTTTGGACTACATGTTGGCTACAGATATTTACTTTTCATGTTGTTTCTCTTAATGTTGTACTACGGGTTGAAAAGTGACAAACTTTCTAACAGGAAACGGGACTAATAGGATGATCAGAATTCCGAAAAGACAAAAAAAAAGGATATGTCACTTTCCAGGAATGAAATCCTACAGCAGCTCAGGCTGAATACTGAAAACCCTCTAAAATAATCATTTAAAACTATAAGCCGTTTTTAATTAGGTTTTAATTTGTCAAGAGAAAAATGTTATACAAAACAACCCGGGCTTATGTGAAAAAGTAATTACACTCTAGACCTAATGACTGGTTGGGCCACCCTTGGCAGCATGAGTTGCAATCAAGTTTTTATAATAACCAGCAGCAAGTCTTTTGCAGGGGACTTTTTGCACTCTCCTCTTTGCAGAATTGTCCTAATCCTGCCAGGCTGAAAAGGTATTCCACAAGTACCCAATCTCAATCATAAAGTCCAGACTTTGGGATTTTAGTTGTTATAGCTATTTAGAGGTAGACTTGTCAGGATCATTGTTCTATATAATTTCTCCACATGCAGAGCAGTCGTAGAGTCACTTTATGTACATAAATTGCAAAGAATTAAAAGTTTAAATCCAAATCAAGCACCTGAGGTCAGAATTGATTTCTTCTATCCAGATTAAATGGGGTTACATCTTCAAACAGCTAAAAATGTCTTTAAAAATCCACAATAACCACCTATACAATGTTTATATGTGTTCTTTTAATTGAATATTTACATTTGAGGTATAAATGTACATCAGTTGCAAACAATATATATCTTTTCAATATCAAACAATTGATCTGATTGTCTTTGTTCATGAAAAAGAAAACAAAACAAACGTATAAATGCGTCAAAGCGTTGTGTGGTATGACATCGCCCCCAATGTCCTGTCAGTTAATAAGCCTATTTTATATATTTCATCTGCCATGTAATAAAAAGCACATGGTAATAAATTAACTTTTTTTAATATAGCTGATAATTTTAATGAAGGATTTATATCGACATAAGCTATAAATATAACTTCATCTTATAAACAAAATACAGGATCAAAGAAAGGAAAATGAAACCTTAAAAGAGAGTGCTTTAAAGTCCTCAAGGTGTATTGAACCATATTAGCAGCACTGCGGTAAGTGTCAGCCCAACATCTGCTGCTTGTCATGTTGCATCCACAGCCTTTACTCCTCCCTGAGAATCTTAGATTTGTGAAAACTGTAAAGAAACATACAGATGCTTTTTATAAGGCAGACGTGTCCCTTTTTATTAGTCCCAGCCAAAATCTTGTCCACTCATCTGATAGAAACGTTGGTTAAAAGGTCTGTAAAAGTCCCTGAGTGTCTGTAGAACCTCAGATGGGATCTGGGGATGAGGTCTACCTTTCGACTTTCCCAGGCAGCGAGGTCTGCTACTCCCCTCTGGTTTCTTCAAGCAGGGAAAACCTTTAGTTTGGTTGAAGTAGAAATGTTTATCTGAAATAACCCTTTTCAAACCCAGGAAGTCCTGAACCCGTCCCATCTCCCCGGCGGGGTCAGACACAAGTCGCTCACCACTGACAAACAGAAAGTGAGACAGGGGGAAATACTGCAGCCAGTTCTCCAGATGTTTGGCATAGAGGCCAATGCGCACGGCACTCCAAGTGGTGTCGATTATTCCTGCGGAGGAGTTCTTCAATGCAAGACTCTGAAAGGATGGAAGACCCGGGTTCTTGGTGAGAGTCTGGGTGTAGTCGGACACGGCACGCGTTACTGGGTCTCTCACCACAACTATTAGCTTGGTTTGGCAGTTCATTGTGCACACACGGCTTGGAGCCTCCTTGGTTACAAAGTAGCTGGGTGTCTTCTCCATGGTGATCTGCCCGTCCAGAGTTCGAGGCATCAGGTTTCTGGGTGGAAATAAAACATTTCCAGTTAGTTATTTAGATACAACCCTTAAAGTATGTTTCAATAATCAACTCCACAGCTGTGATTAATAACCCTTTCTCTTATTAGGTTCACATTACGGTTCACATCAATCTTAAGGCATGCCACAGAGTCTCAGTTGGTTTTACATGTGGACTTTTACTAGACCATTCAAATAAAATATTTTCTTTGCATTGTGGTTCTGGCTGTATGTTTAGAAGCATTCTTGAGGTTAAACCTCCATGCAAATCTCAGATTTGGCTGGCTTTTACAGGTTTTAATCAGTTCCCCTTTCCCTAGCTGTATCCATCATCACATAGGCTCTCACCAGCTTTCTGAAGAAGAGAATTCCCAGAGCAGCCCACTGCCACCACCTTGTTTTGCATTTCAGGTAGAGTTTTCATGTTTTTTATCTTGTGACAAGCATAAAATGTTCATCTAAGAACATTTTTTAAACATATATATTTGGTCTAAACTGATTTCATACGTATATTGTGTGGTTTTTGACCTAATATTTTCTTTTTGACAATCTTTCACTATGGTCAGATTTGTAGTGCGTAAAGATCTTAGTTTTGGTTCTAAAAGATTCTTTTATGTTGACTGGGGATGACCATGTCATTGATGGTTTGCAGTCTCGCTGTCATTTTTTTCATTTCTAGATCACAGTTTGTGCAGCACTGCTGGGTTTTTTTCTGGGGATGATTCAAAAGCAAACCAAACCTTTTCTGATTTATATATTTATTGAAATATTTTGAAAGCTACATGTCCTTTTCCTTGTTGTTAACAATAATTAACGATTTTGTGCTGGTTTATCATATAAAGTCACACGTCCGTGATTGTAATGTGAAAAATATTGAACAAGTTAATGAGGTAGGAGTTCAACACCTACATACATGAGGGGCAAAGCTACAGTCATACTTAACAGTTCACCAACATTTAGTAACTCTAGCTCCTCTTTCATTAAATCACCTCAAATCATCTATGATTAAAGGTTCTGATCCAAGACGGTGTTATTGTTTGCAGCCCCTTCGGGCCTCACTACTAAGGTCTGCAGACCAGGACCATCCACTCATTTTAGCTCTGATGAGTCTAAAACCACAAAACCTCAAAAACCACTTAACAGCAATTTCCTACAGATTTCAACCCCCTCTTCTTCCTGCAGGAGCAGAGCGCCCACCCCGGTTCCTGTGTGTATTTAAAGAGTCCAATATGTCTGCAGGAAGTGTGACCAGGCTGTCCAGCTGCTGAGCTCAGCTAGTGTGTTAAACATATGGCTGTAAGAGTGAAAAGCACTTTGCACAGTAGACCAGTATACATACTGTATTTGTTAGAATATGAAATATGCTCTTATTTCTTTGAAATAATCTGTGAAGAAGAATAAACTGATTCCTCTATTTATTCTTTTTTTTCATGGGTATATTACCAACAACATATGTGTGGTATTCTTTAAGCGCATTGCTTGGTATGATTTCTAGCCCATCTATCCATCAGTCAAGCAGGGATTGTGGGCACCATTCGGGTTTCAGAGTGCTCATGACTGACAGCAAAGCTGCGTGAGCCAGACTTGTGGCAGACTAGGATTTCAGAAGCAAATCGGTTGCCTGACAAACGGACAAAGAGCTATGATTAAAACAGAGGATGAACTGTCTGATCCCCTTTTTGGCTCCATAGATCTCATTGTGTTACTGGAAAAGGAGAGCATTCATGTGGTTTTCCATAAAATAAACAAGTAACAGAGCTTTTGGGATTTATTTGTTTCACACTGGAAGCCTCAATTGAGTCCAAATGGCCATAAGAAGAGGTCATTCAGGAATTCGGATGAGCTTCGAGGTGAATTTATTTTCTTAGTGAAACTTTTTATGATCAAAGACTGATTTGATGTTTAGTGAAACGCAAACCAAAATCTGTACTGCATTAATGTTGCAGCAGATTCTCACAAGTTTGCACAAGAATGATTAATAAAGTAAGAATCCTTTTTTTTTAGTTGAGCTCATAAAGAAGAAAAAAAAATACCTATTTCGCTTTAAGACTTAGAGAGATGATTTAAACGTATTAATTATGGTTTTAAATTGCGGTTGTAAGTGGACCAAAACATCAGTCAAGATCATTTAGTCAGAAGCAGCATTAGTCAGTATGAATAATGAGTATATGAGTACAACTTAATGAATGTGAAAAGCAAACATCTTGAAGGTTTTAGAAGAGAGGTGGATAAAGCAAATCCTCAAACAAATATATTCTGGGTGACTTTCAATTATGGGAGCGAATTCATTAGGATTTATCCCCTTCAAAATATGCCATAAAATAAGCTTATCATTACTTAGACTTGATTTAGCAAAGGCATTTAATGACCGCTACATACTAACCAAGATGTTTTTTTAAATAGACCTTTTCAGTTATGTTGGCACCTCTAATCCAGAGGAAATCAGTTTTTTGAGTGGTGCTTAACATCTTTAAGCTCTGTTTTATTGTAGCCTTACATAAACAAACAAAAAACTTAAATTTATACCCTATTATTAAAGGTTATTATGATTTTTTTTTTTTTTTTGCAGATCCCATACCATCCAGCAGACACTATCACATCAAGTTGCAATTTGGAAGTTATGTGATTTCTCTCCCACTGCCATAAATGTTAATATGCTGAAGGAAATAAACTTAACCACAACTTTAATAGAAACGGTGTGCTTCATTTAGAAGACACTAGTACTGTGACTTTAACCAACAGAAACCGCGGGTTGGTTTGAAGTAAATTAAGGGATGAATATGTTGAAAATAATCGAATTCCTACAGCTATGTACGGTCGAAGATTTGTTATGCTGTGGGCCTGCTTCACTTCTAATGGCCCTGTTACATGCATGCTTTAATATATCAGGAAATTCAAAATGAAAACATAAATACATTCTAAAAATAAACTTAAAATAGGGCTATATTTGGTCTATGTAATCCAAAATATGTCATGATCTGGCCTGTTTGCTCTCCCTTAATTAGTAATTCCTCTCACCTGCCCTCTTCCTTCCCAGCCTCAATTATAATTTATTCCCCTCACCTGTTTCCTCTGGTTTATATTCAGTTCAGCCTGAGCATTCATGGCCAGATCATTACTTGTCTTTCTGTTAGTCTGTCTGTTTGGTTTTTTTTTTGTCATTGTTCCTGTCCTGGATCCTAGCAGCCAGTGGAAAGAGGGTTTTGGTGTTTGTCTCGTCTCCTGATCGTCCACTGTTCCTCCCTCGCGGAGTCCTCTGGGTTTTTGGCTCATTATGGGGGGAGGTTCAGTTTTTATCAAAGTAAGCCTGGCTCCAGGGAGGAGACCAGTTCAAGTCCAGCTTCAAGTTCCGGTTCCTACGTCCTGTCTCGGCTACCCTCTTCCACTGAGCCTGCCTGTCTTCACCTGATCCTGTCTGCTCCTGTGCGTGACCACCTGGTCATGCTTCTGGTTCCAGTCTGACTCTGAACCCTCCTGGAAGCCTGTGGATGCATGGAAGTCTGGATCCTGCCACCTGTCTCTGTTCCTGTCTGATCTGGATCCTGCCAGTTCCTGTCTGTTCCTGTCTGTTCTGGATCCCTCACCAGGATCAGCTTCCAGCATGACCTCTGGGACTGCAGCACTGGGGACACTCGTGGTCTGGACTGTTAAACCAGGTAAGTGACCAACCCAGATAATCATATATCAGTTTATCATGGTCACTTACCTGTGTTTCCTCCCCTAGAGTGTCTATGATTGGGCGGTGCCCCCCCCTGCAGTGTCCTTGAGCCACAGCTCCGCTTTTGTTTTGTTTTTATTTTAATAAACCTTTTGAACTTTCCTACTGACTGTCTCTCCTGAATACTGGGTCCATCTGTCCGCGATTCATGACAAAATATATGGCAAAATGAACATGGAAGTAGTCAACCAGACATAAAATCAGCTTTCTGCAATGGCCATTTAAGTAACCCTGCAAAAAGTGTATGAGGTAAATTAAACATTAAGATAATATGTAGCACTGTGGATGATCTACTGTAGATAAAGGTACAAGTAGGAACATCGCAAGCCTTGTTTCCTAGATCCAGATAAATATGAAAAAATAAGACAGCTTGACTAGAAATGTCCAAAGCAGAACCAGTAATTGTAGAGCTACTGATTTTTTTTTTTTTTTTTTCTTCAGAACAGCTCTTTTTAAACGGTGGATTTTTTCATAGCTGAATAAATGTTGCTTTTAAAACATCTTTAATATTGGTGCTACAATGCTCGCTGCACTCCAAATTCACAGTAGCGTAAGAGATACAGTATCTTTATTTTCTTCAGCTCTATCCTTTCTAGAAAATAAGTTGGGCAATTTTTTTTTTATTAACTCCAACCAGAGCAGTTTTAAAACAAAAACATAAATAAAACTTTATGTGGATTAAAGTCATATGCATACAAAGATGATCCTGTGGTAGGTGCTGATTGCTGACTTTGAAAAAAGTTTAATGCCTCCTTTGTTAACTTCAAGGTGAGCCGTTTTCACCATTCCTAATAACTGATCCCATAATAAAAGACCATTAATTGATTACTATCCAATTGCAAGAGTTGTGAGCAGCCCATCAGCTGCCTCCTCATTCTCAGTTTATCTGAGCCTGATCAATATGTCTGCCCCTTGGCTACAAACTGAGCTTAGATCTTATGTTTCCAGGCATGAGTGCAGTTTTCATTATGCACACACAGGAGCACGTAGGTAACAGTGTTTATTGGTAAGTGAATAAGCATCCATCCTTCCCTCTGCTGTCTGATATGTCATTAAAGGCTTGAATTTGTACTTCTCTCCTTCAGATGAATGACACTTTAGATAATTTCCATACTCTTGCATAGTTAATGATTTGTGGCTTTTACCCCTCTCCCTCCAAGAGCCAAACCCCTATTGATTAATCTCATTAACAGAGAATCAATAAGCTGCAATTTCTGTGATAAATCTGTCTGCGTATGGCGACAAGGACTATAAGCCTATCAAGGATGATTAATTTAAAACACAGC